CCAGACTACTTATTCTTATGACTATGTTAAAAGCAACAAGAAGAGAAAAATTTATTTAATAAAGTAATTTAATCATTGAAATATAGTATATTTTTAATGTTTTCTGGATAATTAAATATTTTTTTTTAAATAAAAAAAAAGGTTTTTTAGTAATTTTATAATTTTTTATTCATGCACTTAAAACTTTGAATACGTGCACTTATAACTTTGAATAACCCTGTAAAAAAATTCTGCGGAAAGTGTAAAAATGCCATGTTAAAACATGTCAAAAACTGTTAAAATTGCCAGTTAAAACGATAGTTACCAAAGATAGTTACCAACGATAGTTACAAATGATAACTGCCAGTTAAAATGATAGTTATCAACAGAAGAAAATAGGACTGAGAATAGCTTTGGCTTTTGAATTTATTTCATATGATTACTAATATTCACTTAGTATCATCACGTCGACGTAGCTTAGTGCATAAACATTCCGCACTCAATTTAAACCGCCATACACTCGGGTTTCCGGGTTCGACTCTCACTTCATACTACATTTCATATCATTTTATATTGAAACATTGAGTCGTAAGGCTTGGTGAGTGCGTCTAGTTTAGAAAGTTCTATGTAAAAACATTGAGTCGCAAGACTTGGTGAGTGCATCTAGAAAGTTTAGAAAGTTCTATGTTAAAACATTGAGTTTTGGTGAATCATTGAGACTTGGTGAGTGTGTCTAGAAAGATTAGAAAGAATATATAGTCTCATGTTAAGTAAGGTTAAGTAAGGCTAAGTAAGTAAGGTTAAATTTGTAAGTAAGGTTCAGGAATAACAATCGCGATTGTAAAAAAAAAAACAGTACGAAATAAAGAAAAATAAAAGGCAGGATAAGTAAGGCAGTGTCACGGCGACACAACAAATTTATTAGGTTGTTTTATTTAAAAAAAAATACACGTTTTTTTCAACAAGATGCGTTTAAATGTAGACAATATAAATTTTAGGGTACTAAGACCTCAAGTTTCTATAAAAGGTTTTTTATATCTTTTACAGAAACTGTAAAAGATAAAAAAAATAAAAAGTTTCTATAAAAGATTTTTTTATATCTTTTATAGTTTATATAAAAGATATAAAAAATTTAAGTTTCTATAAAAGATGTTTTATATCTTTTATAGTTTCTATAAAAGATATAAAAAATTTAAGTTTTTATAACAGATTTTTTAGATCTTTTATAGAAACTATAAAAGATAAAAAATTTAAGTTTTTTATTTTAATGTTTTTATGATCAAAAAAAGTTTTTTTGATTATTTTGATCAAAGTTTTTTTGATGAAAACTTTTTAACAGACCGTCATAAAAAAAAAAAAAAAAAAATACGAGTTTATCTTAAAATTGAAAAAATAAAAAATAAAAACGAGATATTTCAAAATAAAAAACGAGTTATTTTAAAAATTGATTTAAAAATATAATCGATTTGCTTTTTGTTTCCATGCGTTTAATATTGAAAAAAAAACATAAGAAATTTTCAATTTATATATTTTTTTACAATTTAATTAACTCTGAACAATAGCATAAAATTGGCAGTTTTAAATAAGATTAAAAATTTTTTCAACAAGTTTAAATTTTTTTTAATTCGTCATAGGGTAGCGGAAGGACGGCTAACTAACTCCGGGCAAGATGAAGACCGGGCAAGACAAAGAATGTCTTTAGTTTTTTACTAGATTGAAGCATTAATCCGACATTACTGGTTCGTCTATAGGTTGTTCACTAAAAAATTGTATAGAGGCGTTGAAACCACCATTTTGTATTAGTTATGAAGCTTTGATCGTTTACCGCTGCCACGTTACAACTTTTATGCATGTGTCAATAAGCTCTGTTACAGATATAGGTAAGCTATTTCGCTTCTCTTTAACATTTATAAGTAATTTAATTTAAATACTACATATTAAAAAAAAGGTCAATTAATTGCCTTCATTCATGGTAAAGAAAATTATTATATTAAACAGGCAGTCGGGACAAGATGATAGGGGCAAGATAGCAACCTCGCTATCTTCCTCTTTAATTAATTAAACTAACCATCATTATGATCTAGGAGCTGTTGTGTTGGCTTAGTTAAGTATTAGTCAACTATTATATCGCAATTTAAAAAGGAACTATCGCAAAGAAGACTTGATTGCAATCAGTTAAAGATAAAAATTAAAATTCTATTTTTAAGAATTCAGTTGGGAATAAATAAAAAAAATGTTCTTTTAATTTGCTTTATAGTTTTATTTGTTTGATTAATTAAAATCTAGTCATATTAGTTTAATAATGATATATTGTATATATAATTATCCAGATATGGTTTTCCAGATATGGTTTGACGCTATGAAATGAAAATCTCAAGAGGTGAATAGAACAAAAAATGATTGGCCTCTTCAAATGTGTTCAACGTACATAAAGCTACACTTCGTCGCCGCCTGCAGATGAGTCAGGTCTATCCTCTGTGCCTTAAAAGTTATCTATGGTTCTCAGTCCTACAGGATCTAGATGGCTCTAGATGCTATATTATAATGCAAAAAAAATCATAACGGTTGGGTTGTTACCGTACACATCACATTGTCTTCAACCCCTTTGATGTGTCCCCTTTGAAAAGAATATTGTGATCATTCAATAGAAGAATGAATTCAGTGCTATAAATGCCAAGACTAGTGGCATGAAGAATGTTCCAATTATGAAAACACTATTCTTAGCGGTACAACTAAAAGCTTCAACATCCCAGCTAACACAAAACGTTCGACGAACGTTGCGGACGTTCGAGCGCGTTCTATTAACGTTCATATAACGTTCTCGGACGTTCGCAACAATCATTGAACGTTTTATGTTAGCTGGGATTACGTTACATTGCATTACGCTTAGTTTAATAGTTTGTAAGATGTGAAAACGCGATTATCATTTGTTGAACCATGTAACATATTCAAAAGAGAAAATATGTTGAACTATTTTCAGTGTTGTGAGTGCTGTGCCCCAAGACCAAAGTCATCTTGCCCCAGTACTGGGGCAAGATGACTTTGATCTTAGGGTAAAATAATAAATAGAATAAATTAATAAGCAACAAAAATTGTTAACATAGTCATCTTGTCCCGGTCTCCTCTATATGTAGCTGACAGAAAGTTTGAAACCCAACCCCTACTCAAATTCCTTGGTGTGGCATTACAAAATAACCTTAGATGAAACATTCATTTCAAAAACATCTACAAGAAATGTTGCGCTGGAATGTCAGCTATCTTTTGCTTGGCGTCATTTGGTATACCTCCTAATTCAATATCAAATAACTATTTTGCCTTAGTCTTTTTGGACAAGGCTTAAGCTTAAGCCGTGTTTTGCGATATATCTAGCTCTCAATTCATGATACTTTCAACCATAGAGAAATGTGCAGCAATCATATGTAACAAGCGTTCATGTTCAAATCAAATCTCAAGAATTCTTAAAGACATCGGCTTTAGATTAATTAAAAAACCAGTTTAAATGATCACTCTCTTCGAGCATTCTTTTTAGTTTACCTATATTGCGAAATCTCAGGAATTCGCGTAAGCTGCAACTTCTGCATCCAAAATCAACTCTATTAATAAAATCTTTTGCGTTTTTTTTTTCTCACAAATACCTAGATATTGTATTTATTTATAAAGTAAATTAGAATAATAATCTAAATAGTATTACAAATAGTCTCGTCCCTAATTACAAATAGTCTCGTCCCTAATTATGTACCAAACTAATTAGTTAGAAGCATTTACTTTGTTGCTATAATTAAAAAAAAATTTTTTGAATAATAAATTTATAATTTAAAAAAAGAATTACGTATTTGCACTTACTACTTCTTAGATACAACTTTTTTATATTTTGTTCTTGTTTATATTACTTTGTTGCTACTTCCAAGTCTGGTTCTATTTTCGTTTAATATAAAATGGCAAAAAAGACTAAATAATTTTTTAGACAATCCGTTTTTTTTTAGACAATCCATTTACTTTTTTTATAAAATCATAATAAAACTTTTTCCAGACAATCAGATTTATTTTCTAGAGAAGTCATTTTTCTAAACAACCTATTACATTCAATTGTAAGAAAAATCTTTTGTTTCTCATTTTATTATTTAATGAATATGCTGGAAATATTTTTTTTTAAGAAAAACTACTGGAATCCAGGCTGTCGTAATTTACGTATAATCTTATACGAAAATCCAACTATAAGAGGTACCATACATGTTGAAAGCTTGCAGAGTATTAGTTTATTTAAGTTGTAAAATAATATATAGAAATTAATATTATAGAAGATGACTTTTAAAAAATTAAAACAAAGTTTTAACTTTTAAAACAAAGTTGAAGAAAGTGAGGTTGAAAGTTTTTAAGCTTTTTATAACAATTTTTCAAAGTTCTTTTTCTTTTAGCTATATTCACGAGCCATTTATTACGCCTTAATTTTTAAAACCTTTAAGCATTAAAATGTTCACGTGCATGTTTGACTAAAAGATTTCGTTACCGTCAACATTCTTTTAGCAATAAAGCTTTAAAGATTTCTTTTTTGACGAAATGCAAATAAAAGTTTCTGGCCACCTTACTAAATAGAGATAAATCATAAAACTTCATTTAAACCATAGTCACAAGAATAGATTCAAGAGACACAAGATTCATAGACACAAGAATAGACAAGAAGAGACATAGATTCATAGACACAAGAATAGACAAGAATAGATCTATTCTTGTGACTATGTTTAAACTAAAGCATTGCCTAAGTTGAAACAGCAAGTGAGTAATTATATTTATTTATTGATTTTAATATAATTTAGATAAATTTCTATTCTATAAATAAAAAGCTATGTAAATTGTAAACAAAATTTTGTTTACAAATTACATAGCTTGTAAACTTTTAAAATTTGTAAAAATTGTAAACTTTTATTTATAATAAATTTATGCTAAAACTTTCCATTGCCATACTACAAGCTAACATTATATTTTTATATTTTTTATGAATTCCATGTTTTGATTTTGAGAGGAATTACGGTTAAATTACTACTTTTAAAATTGGTTTTCACTTTATTTTTTACATGAAATTTATTTTTGTATGTGACTTTTAAGGTAATCAAATATGTTGTTGTTGTTGTTGTTGTTGCTGCTGTTGTTGCTGTTGCTGCTGTTGTTGTTGTTGCTGCTGTTTTTGTCGCTGTTGTTATTATTGTTATTGTTGTTGTTGTTGTTGTTGCTGCTGCTGCTGTTGTTGTTGTTGTTGTTGTTGTTGTTGTTGTTGCTGTTGTTGTTGTTGTTATTATTATTGTTATTGTTGTTGTTATTGTTGTTGTTGTTGTTGTTGTTGTTGCTGTTGCTGTTGTTGTTGTTGTTGTTGTTGTTGATGCTGTTGTTGTTGCTGTTGTTATTATTGTTATTGTTGTTATTGTTGTTATTGTTGTTGTTGTTGTTGCTGCTGCTGCTGCTGTTGTTGTTGTTGTTGTTGTTGTTGTTGTTGTTGTTGCTGTTATTATCATCGTTGCGCTATTGTTGTTTTAATTCATTTTGATAGAAAATTTAATGTTTTACTTTTTTTAATTTAAAGTCTGATAAGTTCAATTTTTTTACTAGTTATTTTTAGAATGAAATGTTTGATTTAGTTTGATTTTTTTTTTCTGTTTTTTATCTTATTTTAATATTGGCTATTTTTAAAACCATTTTTTTAATTTTCTCTTTTTTTCCTCTCACAGTATTGTTATTGTATCATTTTTTATTGTTATTATTATTATTGTTATTATCATTATTATTATTTTATTATCATAATATTGGTATCACGCTTTTAATATAAATATTCTTCTTTTTTTCTGAACTTAATAGGGTTTAGTGCTTATTCTATTATTATTTTTGTTTTAATTTCAAAATAAACTATTTCTTATTTATGTTATTACATAGGGATTCCTTCACTAGACCTTAGCTCATATAAGAATGTGGGCATACACCATAATTTTAGTCATCACCAGAAAACACAAATACAGCAATTGTGCGTTGGCGAATTGATCTTCGTCCGACACCTTATTAAGTTAGCTTACAGTGCTCCTACTCTTGCGTGCTTAATATACTGGAGGGAAAGCTTATCCTCCTTCGTTTATTAATTTTTACTTGTTATCAAGAAAAAAAACAATTTCTCAAAACTTGAAAAAAAAAAAAAAAAAAAAAAAAATCAGTGAAAACCAGCCTTTAAAATTGGATAATACTTCAGTATTGTAATATCAGTCACTGATAAGAATAAAAACTTTCAGAGTAATCAGGTTTTAAAAATTGCCGACCTTTAAAGAAATCTCGTAAACCTTGATTTAAGGAAAATTAGCTTTTTGTTTATTCCTCACGATAGTATAAAACTTTTATTAACATATTAAATCCGATTGAAATTACGTAATAGTTTTTACACGCAATTTTATCTCAAGAACCATTTTACCAATTTTGATAAAGTTTTGATAAAGTTTTGACGAGTTGTTTCTTTCATTAAGAGATGTTTTAATAGAACGTTTTCCTAACCTGAATTTAGCTTTAAAAAAGCGCTGTTAATTGTTTTATTTGTACTTGTATCTCCACAAATCAAAAAAATTGAGTTAGATCAATTTTTTATTCTTTTTATGGATAAAATATTTTTTTTTTTTTTACAAATAAATACAAATAAATCAGTAAAAATAAATAAAAAATTGACTTACTATACCTCACATTGCATTTTGTTCAATCTCCTTAATCCTGTAAAAAATTAACATTTTAATGTGCTATCTCCGTTTTATCCAATCAAAAGTTATTTACGCCTAAATGGTAGCGGATGTTTTCAAACAACAGCAAAACTTTCAAGGTAACTATGACTATGTTTCAAGGTAAAATATGTTATTGCTAACACACGCCCACACACACGTATATATATATATATACATATATATATATATATATATATATATATATATATATATATATATATATATATATATATATATATATATATATATATATATATATATATATATATATATATATATATATATATATATATATATATATATATATATATATATATATATATATATATATATATATATATATATATATATATATATATATATATATATATATATATATATATATATATATATATATATATATATAGCGGAAAGCGGGGCAACATGGCGAACGTTTTGAAAGCCCTGAGTTATTGCAAAACTATCAGTCGTGAAGTAATAATACTTTCTCAGTATGCTTATGTTATAAAAACCCTTTATTGCCTGCATGAATTTTCAGTTTGCAAATATAACAGTTTGAAATAAATATTAAAATAAAAAGCTCATAAATTTGTCATGTGGTCACGTGACCGGGGCAAGATGACTTATTATGCAATTTTATAAAATTTTAAATACAGCCAATAACTCTAACTAAAGTAACAAAAAATAAGAACAAATTGCAAAAAACTACTTCTAAAGAAGTTAAACTTGAAGGACACCATCCATTATGAGAAACCGAAAGTGAGGAATTTTTTTTTAAGCGCAAAATGTAAACTTATGCGAATAAAATTACGTTAATAATATTTAAAAAAAACCAATTGGTGTTTTAAAATACAAGACGCAAATACGGTTTCTTTTTCATCCAATTTTAAGATTTTTTGTTGAGTTGTTATACGAAAACCCATCTTTCCCCATTCGCCATCTTGCCCCGCTTTCTCATATATATATATATATATATATATATATATATATATATATATATATATATATATATATATATATTATATATATATATATATATATATATATATATATATATATATATATATATATATATATTATTCAGAAACTGATCTGGCTGTTTTTTGTTATCATAATAATAATTCTAAAGTAGCACCAGCTTGCCGTCTGCTCCTACATTGAGGAAAAACTAGGAAACGAAAGTCACCACCAAAACTTGAATACAGAATGAGAGAAAACAGCTAAGACAATCTGATCAGCGGTATAAAATCAATCAACCAATCAATCATTCATTTCTGAATAAAGTTTTTACATTTGAGGATGTTTACAAATAGTAAATTTACTAATATAAGGTAAACACCTACAAATGTTAATAATATCTAATTAAAATAAATATAATGCTAATTTTCACAATATATAATAAAGATAATAAACTTTATAACATAAAAATAACGGTGTGAATAATAATAATAATAATAACAATAAAAGTTAAAAGTAGTTATTAATATAAAATGTTAATAAAAATAACAATAAGCAATAAAAAATATAAAATAGAAATTATAAAAATAAAAAAAATACCTAAGACAACAAAAATTGATTATAGAAATTATAGACATTGACTATACTTTATTAATAAAAAGTAGAATTAACTGGTTTTAAAGGTTGAGAATGAATTGAGAGCTTTTGGTTCATAAGGAAAGTTGTTCCAAGTTTTAGTGCTTTGATATTTTATGGATTTATGCCCGTAATTATGAGAGCGGTGTTTAGAGACAGACAGGTTTAAATTACTATCGGAACGAAGGTGATAACGAGTGTTGGCACTTTTGGAAAAGAAATTAATGAAAGTTAAAGGTAGGTTATTGTGCTGGTGGTTCCAGACAAATTGACAGTTTAAAAGTTGAATATAGTCATATAGTTTTAATACTTTAGAAGTTAGGTAGAGCACATTAGGATTAATTAGGATTAAATTTAATATTTTGAAAATGAATAATTTTTAAAGCCTTGTTTTGGAGGTGTGATAACCTAATAATAGCTTGTTGATAGGACTGCCCCCATATTTGACATGCATATCTAAGATATGAGCCAAAAATACCATGGTATATGCTGAAGAGTGTTTCAAGATTAACATAATGGGGAATTTTAGCCAGCATGCCATTAGATCTATTTAGTTTCATTGCTAAGTCTTTACAGTGCGATAAAAAAGAAAGATTTGAATCAATTTTTATACCAAGATACTTAATTGAGTTAACAGGTTCAATTTTTTTGCCACTTAATCTAAAGTTCATATGTTTATAGATTTTTTTTTTAATTTGATTTAAAGATAATGAGTTAAGTTTTATTAGAGTTTAGAAAAAGTTTGTTAGAGCAAAGCCACTGAACTAGATTGAAAAGATAATGGTTAACGTGTTTGTTAACTTTTTTAAGGGATTTATTAATTAGCATTAGATTAGTATCATCAGCAAAATGGTAAACAGTAGCAAACTTAATGGATGTATGAAGATCATTAATATAAAGAAGAAAAAGCAGTGGTCTCAATACTGAACACTGAGGAACACCATTAAAACATTTTACAAGGGTAGATTTTGAGTCATTAATAGAAATAAATTGTGTTCTATCGTTTAAATATGTACTAAACCATTTAAGCGGTACGCCTCTGATCCCATAATAATCTAATTTTTTCAACAAAATTGAAGGATCCAATGTGTCAAACGCTTTCTGTAAATTGACAAATACGCTACATGCAAAATATTTATCATCAGGTGCTTTTCTAATTAGTTCAGTCATTTCAATGAGAGCATGAGTTGTGGAGTGATTTGCACAAAATCCATACTGATGGGTGTGAAAGCATTTAAAATATTCAAAAAAAGCATATAACCTGTTATGCATGCCCTTCTCAAAGAGTTTACCTTTATTAGAAAGCAAAGAGATGGGTCGGTAATTGATGAAATCTAGTAGAGAGCCTTTTTTATAAAAATAGAAAGGAAAAAAATGTTTCTTGTATATTTGCAACCAAAAAAAAGGACTGTAAATTTAAATACACACAAAATATTGTACACATATATTTGTTGATTTTTGGTTTGTGATATGTTACTTAAAAATCAGAGTAATTTAACAAAAGCTTAGGACCACGGAATTCTAGTATACAAGAGGTTGATAATATCCATGGTCAAATTGATAGAGCACTTGCTCCAATTAAAATATTTAGTTAACTTGGTTTAATCAGAGCAATTCCTGCTTTTTTTTTTTTAAAAAAAATTTTTCTGCTTACCAAATGAAGAAACTGGATTTCAAACATTTTTTAGCTATTGCAGACTTTTTTAATTTTAAGTTTGTTCCCTATATCTAGATAAAGCACTTAGCATTCAGATCATGTATACTCTGTTGAATTGAATTTAAGACAAAATAGCGTGTTTATATTATTTGTTTACTAGTGTAAGATTTTTTTTTCCTAATAAAACAGATATGTACCTTACAGTACTTTAATTGCCAAAATATACTATTATCTTGCCGCAATATATATAAAAATACTAGTTTGTATAATATTTTCAACAGAAAATGGAGATAGAACAAAATAACACTATGACCTCACTAGTAACCATGGGTTTTTTCATGACCTCACTAGTAGCCTATGGGTTTTTATTCGGCTGGTATGGTTTTGTGGCACTTGGTATGTAGAGTGAAGTAGCTTCATTATATTTGTCAATTAAAAGTTTGTATTTTTCGGCCTCATTTATTTTTTAAAATAATGTCTCCCAGTCATAACTGCTAATATAACTCGAGATAAAAGTGTAGTTTGCCTTGCTCCACACTAATCGAGGAGTTATTTGTGGTTCATTGTTTGTTATATTGCTACAACCGCAAAAACCAAAAACCAAAAAAAAAAAAAAAACGTGCAAGATTTTATTAAAAATAATAGTCTTTAAAACAAAAAATAATGAAAACTAAAATAACAGCCTTTAAAACACTAATGAAACAAAATCTAAATAACAGTAGAGAATCGACTCAAGACCTTTTGTAAAATGCTTCCTAAAAGGTTAACTGGTGTTTTAAACAAAGATGACGAAATTATTTTCTATTCAAAAGATTAAAAAAGAAAATCTTAGATTAAAAAAGTTCTATGAAAACTTTTAATGAAAAATACTTAAAGATTTATCACAATTGGTAAAACGGTTCTTGCGATGAAATTGCCAGAGTGTAAAAAAAGACTTTTTTTACACTCTGGCAATTTTTTTTTTTTTTTTTTTTATTAATAAGTTTTGTAAAAAACTTTTACAAAACTTATTAATAAAAAAAAAGACATATACAAGTTAAATATAGGATACGTTTGGGGTAAAATAATACAATAGCTAAAAAAAGAATATAAAGTACTCGAAGCCTCCTCATGCATACTACTTTACTTCTTTATCTATATATTTTT